CTGAGACTGTGATCCTTTTCTAGACTTGTAATGAAAGCCATAAGCTATAGACCAATGGGAACAGATTTCTCAGTGAGTTTGACTTCAAGTCAAACCAAGTCAGGTTTCACCATCATTCAGTTATTTAAATACAACAATGAGATATTCAAGGACACAGATACTAAGTACCAACATCAGGTTGAAAAGAACTAAATGAAGTGATCATTTAGAGACTTATCTTTGTTTCATTGGTTAAAGAAATACATTTATTTAAGAAGTATAAACTCTGGAAGATCATTTTACTATCCTGTCTGTTTTTCTAAATTGTTTACACCAATTATTAATGTATTCAGCAATGTAAGTGTGCTTCCTGCCCAACAGTTGAGATTTTAAAAATTCTTCAATATTTGGCATCTGGAAAATTAGAATAGCACCTTAGTATTTGCAAAGTGTTAGACTTCCATCATAGTGACAAAACACCTATAGGGAACAACTTAAAGGGGCAGGGGCTTTCGCACTCCTGGTTTCAGAGTCTATCCAAAGTCACTTGGCCACACTGCTTTGAACCTGTGGCGACACAGGTCACTGAGGCAGGAATGCACTGTAGCACAGTCCACTCACAATTTGGCAGCTGCAAAGCAGAGAGAGGAGACAAAATCCAACACTGATTATTGAATTTCCTCTATGTTTTACCTCTTGAAGAGTCTATCACCTTCCCAAAACACCATGGGCCTCTGGAGGTCTTTACCGATCCAAACTACAACATTAAGTGTTTGTGAAGACGCACATCCTATAGTTTTTAAGACTCCCAAAGCACTTTATGAGTGAGACCAAGACCATCTTCCTCTAACAAAGGGAGTCTAAAATCCTAGTCATACTTTTAAAAATTGCCTGTAAGACATATTTTGTGATATTACTACAATTCTTCTGGAAAAAACAACTCATCTTTAATTTATAAAATTAGTAATAAGAAAGGTTTGTAATATGTAAATAATAAGATTCCTTAAGGTACGAACATGAGTGGGTCTACCTAAAACACCAAGAAACAATGGAATCAATGTACACAAAAATCAGTATGGTAAAATCACTTATTCCTTACCACTGTCAATAGAGTTTAGAACATTAAAAAAAAAACAATTAAAACTATACACCAAAGAAGAGTTGAATAAAAGATCATTAGAACTGATTTATTCTTAGTGTAAATAAGATTGTACAGGAAGTAAAGATTATACATGTTACAGAATACATAATACTTTGAAAGCATACATTAGATTTCATGCCAAAAGTGTAGTAGAATATTACATCAGTAACAACAGATGCCTAATCCCAGCTCTCAGGAGACAGAGGCAGGTGAATCTTTGTGAGTTTGAAGCCAGCTTACTCTACAAATCGAGTTCCAGAACAGCCAGAGCTGTTACACAGAGAAACCCTGCCTGGGGGGCGGGGGAGGAGGAAAGAAGGGAGGGAGGGAGAAAGAAAGAAAGAAAATGGACAGCTGTGTTACAGTACAATGGCAAAAACATATGTAGCAAAGTAATTGAAAACAACACAAAGTCAAGCTGATGGCACAGGCCTGAAATCTCAGCATTTGGGAAGGGGAAGAAAGGCTGAGAGTCCAGGGTAATCCCTGGCTACACAGAGTTTGAGGCCACCCTGGGCTACGTGAGACCCTGCCTTAAAAAAGCAAAAATATCAACAAAAAGCCCAATTCCACTATTACAAAGAAAAAAATTCAAAACTGCACGTTTATACATGTTCAGAGAAAAAGGATGGCCAAGTATCTACTATTGAGAATATTAATAGTTTAATTTTTAATATAAGTTTAGGAGAAAAACTTCTCCATTTCAGCCAGAATGGAAAGCTACTTGAACAGGAGAGAAGCAGTAAATGTCAGCTTCGTAGGTCTGGCAAAGGTGTAAAACCAAGATCAAGGAATAGTCAGTGCTGCATGAAAACAAGGCATTAAAACTACTTCCCAAAGGTCAAAATGTAGGAGAGATGGGCACATCTGACCACAAGTTGAAGAGCACCTTCAACTTGCTGTTCCTGCTTGCTTTCTGCTGCCATGATAAACCATGACCAAAGCAACCTGGGGGGAGGAAAGGGTTTATTTCAGCTTACAGGTTAAAGGTCCTTCCCGAAGGGAAGTCAGGACAACAACCTGGAGACAGGAACGGAAGAACCACCAAGGAACGAGGAATGATGCTTACTGGCTTGCTTCCATGCCTTGCTTGGCTTGTTTTTATATACACCCAGGACCACCTGCCTAGGTATTGCCCACGGTAAGCTGGACCATCATACATCAACTAATCAAGACAATGCCCCACAGACTTAGTAATCTTCTCAGAGTGTCATTTCTCCTTTCCATTTGACCCTTGCAAGAGGACAAAACAAGCAAACAAACAAACAAAAAAACATTAGCTAATTAGCAGTCTCCAAAGTGCCACTAGTGAAGACAAAGTCTTTATAGGAAACAGGACAATTAAGGCAAGACAGGAACAGTCAGGTGTGGCTTTAATCACAGCACTAGGGAGGCAAAAGCAGGTGGGTCTGTGAGGTATTGATCATTACATAGTGATTTCCAGGCCTGCCAAGGGCTAGTGAGAGCCTGTCTCAAAACACAACAAACGAAACACCCAGGAACAAATTAATGAAATATGAAATGTTCTTCCAATAAATAATAGTTAAATTGTTACCGGCAATTAATGCAGACCTAGGGTGAGACAACCAGAACTGCAGATTCCCTTCAATGTTCACTGTGCTGACCTTCTGTCAACTTAACACAAGCTGGAGTCATTTGGGAAGAAGGAACCTCAACTGAGAAAAACCTTCACCATTTGGCCCGTAGGTGAGTCTGTGGACAGTTGATTGATGACAGATGTGGGAAGGCCCAGCTCACTGTGGGTAGGGCCCTGGCTTGGTCCAGTACTCCTCCACGGCTTCTGCTTAAGCTCCTATCTGCAGGTTACTGCCCTAACTTCCCTCAGTGATAGACTGTGATGTGAAACTACAGGACTGAGATAGATACGCGCCCCCACAGTTGCTTTTGGTCATGGTGTTTATCACAGCAACGGAAACCCTAACACATTCACTGAGCACAGTTCTGCTATAAATGTACTTAGCACTCTTGCAAATGCTTTTCAGGAATGTGGAAAAATTTAACACTGTTCAGATTTACTCAGAATGTATCCCCTGGTAACACATGAGGCAAAGCTTTATGCACAATAATTAAAACTTAAATCTGATTTATTTACAGTGGTAAAGCTGGGGGGGGTAAATAATCAAATGCATAGAACTGTAAAAACTGGCACATTCATGAAGTTAAACTCTATATACATTTTCAAACAACCTGTTTGAATTATTGATTAAACTAAATTATAATCTAAACCAAACTGCTGGGGCTGGGGAGACGGCTCAGTGACTAAACTGCTTGCCACACAATCGCAAGAACCCATTTGGATCCAAGCACCTATGTAAAAATCAGGAGTTATGACTGCAGTGCTGTACAGCTAGAGACAGGATGCTCACTGCTTTCTGGCCATCAGTCTAGCTGAACTGATGAGCTGAAGGTTCAGTGAGAGATCCTGTCTCAAAATAAAATAAAGAAGCAATTGTGGAAAACACCCTGTTTCAGCCTCTAGCCTCCACACATGTTCACATATGAACCTACAAACACCTATGAAATCATATCCACACAAGCACACAATAAACTCATATATATACATGTACACAGGAACCTGCATACACACATACATGTGAACCCACACACACAAGTACACAAATTATAAAATGCCACTGGCTACAACTACCACTTCTCTGGGGAAACTAGTTTTAAACAACTACTCACAAATCTAACACATACAATTTTCTTTTAGATTTATGAGCATTTGCCTGCACATATGTATGTATACCATATGCATGTCTAGTGCCCACAGAAGTCAGAAACCATCATATCCCCTGGAACTGGAGATACCCACCATGTGGGAGCTGGGAATTGAGCCCCAGTTCTCTGTAAGAAAAATCAGGGATCTGAAGTACTGAGCCATCTTTCAAGCCCTAAGATGCAAACTTAACAAGCTCCATGAATAAGAGGAAACAAAAACTTACCCCCAAAGCCAGTGGACTTTAGTTGAACTAAGAATACTTGTGAAGTGTAGAAATGTTCTGTAGCAATGAACAAAGTACTTTCAATTATAAGCAGGAAAATTTTAATATGATCAATGTACAAACTACACTAAAAAGCAAGGAAAAATCCAAGTCTGGATTTATCTGCACAAAAATGCAATTTATCTTTTTGGTGTCACTATGCAATCTAAACTGGCCTTAATGCATAATCCTCCTGTTTCTTCTCCACTACTTCCAACAGAATCTGTTTTTCATAACAAGATGCACTTGGAAATGGATAAACTCCATGCATATTATTTCTTAATATCTACACATGAAAAACTAAGTGGTTTGTCTTTGAAACTTGGATTACAGCTTTGAAACTATTTGCCAGTGTCCTTACACATATGATAAACCCAACATTCGCAGAGGTTATGGCTGACATGTAAAGATCAAGGATAATTTTTATCTTATGTTTTATTTTCCTATTCTTTTTATAGGACAAATCTTAATTTGACCACATGTATAGATTATCAACTAGAGGACACTGGAAAGCAAAGAGGAGAGGTGTATGTGTAGGACTGTAGGGTGGTGATACAGATGGAGCAATCAGCTCACCTGGATAAGGAGCACTTGTTAATCACAGAACGAGAATGCCAAATGTATTCATAGAGGGCAGAAATGCTTTTTTGCAAAAGAAGGAAAAGCATATACCGAAAACAGGCTGTGCAATATCACTTCACTATGTCAGAATCAGCATGAAGAAGTCATGTATCAATTCTGGGTTACAAATAAACCACAGGAAAGCTATCCACAAAGGTCAAAATGTAGAAGCGACGATTGTAGCTACAAAAATTAACAGCTTTTGTTTGTAAAACTAAGAGTTTGAGGGGAAGAAAAAAGGCAATACAATAAAATACCGGGCAAATAATTTTATTATATAAAGAAATTCTGTAACTTGATATGAAAAACAAAGCAATTCTAATAGGTTTCACAAGGAAAAAGGACATGGACATTTGACCAAAGAGAAAATGAAGTTATTCAAAATACACAAGTATTCTTCACTTTTGCAAAAAGAAAAAAAAAAGAGTGGGGGGGGGACAGACAGACAGACAGAGAGTTTGGGATGCCACTTCTTGCTTATTCAAAACACAAAGTTAGTAGCAATGCTTACCTTAACTTCTAAAAGTATTCAAATATGTCTAAGTAATAAAAAAAATGGAGTCATTAAAAAACACAAAGTATGAAAATTTCTGTCAATGTAGAAATCATAAAGAGCATTAAAATAAACCAACACTTGTATGGGCAGTAAGTAAAGTTCAGATGCCAGAAGCCAAATCCTTTTAAGGGACTGTCAAGGCATTGCTCCTGATTTACTCTGCTGCTCTCCCAGGACTAGCCATACATACACACATATACGTATGCACCTATGTTTATTTCCTTCAGGTGAGCTACTTTTCCAGGGAAGCACATATCCAGTATCACTCATTACCAAGGACCACTATAATTCCATCTGTCCCTTTAGGATTTTCCCATATAATTCACAGCCAGAGAGTATTCCCACAGTACTGAAAGACTACAAGTCTACTTTAGCACTGCCTTAAAGAAACCAGCTGGCTTGTTAGGGGATCTGAAGTTGGTCCTGCCCTTGGGTCAAGGTTGAAAAGGTATATTTCTGATTTGATGGAGAACAGGGTCTATCTGTTTGCTTAGATCAGCCTTGAGGCATGCCACACAGCTCAGGATGTTATCAGCTACAGCAGCACCAGAAATCACTCAAAATCACACAATAAACATGCCAGAGTGACAGAGGTGGGAGTCTGAACTTAAAATCCTACGGCTTTGTTCAGAGTGTTTCCTTGCCTTTCCTGACTGCCAAATCTCACTGGAAAAAGTAGTAAGAAGAAACAATTCTCCGAACCTTGACTTTTGCTAAATAATCTATATACATTTAACTACAGGTTACACAGAAAAACTAATTAGATTTCATTTAAGGAAACAATCCCATTAAATATGACAAATTTGGTTGTCAATTTAACTTGTTGTAGCCCTTAACTACCTAAATTTTGCTGAGCACTTTAGACACTAACTCTCTGGTATGGAATTTTCACTGAAATAAAAGGTGCTACTCTGTGGAAGAAAACATTAGCTCGTTTTCACTACTGCTGAAGTTTCTACCAGTTCTAAAAGCTTATACGTAGTACACATGAATTTTTGTGTGAGCACATATATATATGTCTTGTGTACACACTTCAAAATTTTCTTTTCTCCAGTAAGATAACAAATCCTGACTTACTGTTTCTTCTAGTTAATATTTGTACTATTTCTCCTACCTAAGAAACTTCATATATTCTAAGAGTAATCACATAGCCTAGCTAACAAATTGTCAAAAACTATCCAAGAGGGAGGTAGCTCTACCTTGGCAATCTTTTATTATTTTAGTTTATAACAGGGGACCTCCATTTGATGTTTTAGTCAAATCAAAACTTTCAACTTTGTAGCATAATAGACAATTACACATTCACTATGATCACCTACAATTTGACATATGTAACACCACAAAAGACATTTAATTTTTCACATGTCTTTCACTTGTTAAAACAGCTAAATATATTTAACACATTTTCCAGAATGTACTTATTAGCCATTTAATAACCTACTAAGCAAAACAAACAAAAAAACCTAAGTTACCTTTTTGTCTAATAACTGTAGTAATAAGAGACAATTGAAGGGGAAGTGAGATCATCCATGAGTACACTGCAAGGTATTACACCTTGTATCTAAGAATGATCCGAAGGTGCTGAGAGAGGCGATTCTCTTGAAGGTGACCCAGGGTTTTCTTCAGGTGGAAAAACTGTCAGAGTACAGGCCCGAATGCCACCAAGCGACTCTGGAAGATCAAAAACTTTATGCCACTCATCTTTTTCTGGGTCGTACTTCTGGACAATTTCTACCATGCAACGATTATTCCAAGAATATCCACCAACAACATAGATTTTGTTTTCAAAAACAGCAACTCCAACATCACTCTGACCCCTCAGCATAGCAGCGATTGGAGTCCACTGGTCAAGAGTTGGCGAATAGTATTCGCAGCTGAGAACATCATCATAATCACTTGTTCCTCTGAAGTGGTTGCCACCAATCACATACAGCTTGTCTCCAACTGTACACATGCAATGCAGGCCTCGGACTGTAGTCATGGGGGCCTTCTGTGTCCATTTGTCTGTATCTGGGTCAAAACACATGAGCTCATTTTGGAACGTGTCATGCGTAATTCCTCCTGAAATATACATTAAACCCCCATACACTGTCCCAGCATGGCCATAGTGGGGTTCACTCATTTTTGCCACGTAGCTCCACTCGTTCATTCTTGGGTTGTAACATTCCACGGTGGCCAGCTCGCCAGCCGCACTGCGCCCACCGACCGCATACAAGTGTCCTTTGAGGGCGCTCAGGTGAAAGAACGTGCGCTTCTCATTTAACGAGGCCACCTGCATCCATTTGTTATACCGAGGGTCAAACCTGAAAACTGTGTCGACAGCAGTCTTTCCTTTCGTATCATAATTGCTCTGACCACCAACTACATAAAGGAAGTTTCCAATAACAGCGATGCCATGCTGGTATCGAGGAGCATCCATGGGGGCTAAGGACTTCCACTCCTGGGCCCGTTCATCGTACACCCGAAGCTCTTTACTGACCACTAGCTGCTGCCTCAGAACGCCTCCCAAGGTGACCAGGTGGGTGGAGTCGGATCGAATGGCAGTCCTGTCTGACTGCATCACTGGCTGCATATAGGGCATCATTTGGTAATTACTGGCTTCCAAAAGCAAATTCACACAGGTGTTGTCTGTTCTCATGAAATCTACTGTCTGCACATAGTTGATGAGGTCCTGTGGTGTCATCAGTGGGAATCGAATGTTCTTCATTAACTTTGCAGCGTAGTCCATCCGAGGGTCTTCCAGCCTCAACCAGCGGCAGGCTGCCTTGAAGAGCTCCAGCTCGGAACAGTGCTTGAGACTATTGCTGGAGAGCACAAAGGCAAGCCGTTCGAAGGGGAGTTTTAGAAACTCGCCGGTACTCAACAACGCAGGAAAGTTCTTCAGGATGAAATTGTTTACGTATTTATCCACTTCTATAAGATTGTAGGTGTTAGCAATCCGTCCAACCTCCACACAGTTATCCAAAGAGACGCCTGATATAAGAAATACTTTACAAAAGTCCAAAACTGGTAAGATCTGCAGAAAGCTGGCAGCCTCAAGGGTGTCCTGAAGATTGTCCATATTAAGAGACAGTTTTGCGGTGTAAATAAAATCAATGATTTTCTTCAGACCAACTTTGTTCACCCCATGAAGTTTAATGCACATTAAATCTTGTTCTTTCATTCCACCTGTGAACATGGCCTTGAAATAATCGCTGGCAGACGCCATCATGGCTCTGTGCACCGGGAAGATTTCATCTCCATCACCGGGTACCAGGGTCACGTCACACAGCAGCCCCTCTAGTCGGAGCTGATCAAAGCCTTGCAACACGACGGCGCTGTGGGTATTGCTGGTGAAAAACCGCGTAGTCCCCGCCTTGCAGGGCTGCAGGTGGGCAGAGACGCCCATCTCGCCGTTCCCGAGGGACACCTTCATGGGAAAGGCCTCCGGCGTTCGCAGCGAGCCGCAAGGCCGCAGACGATACAAAGGGGGAACGCTCTCGGCAAACTCAGGGCCTCCCAACCAAGGGCAATCGGGTCGCCGCAGCCCCGCTCCGGGCACACCCACGGCCACACCCTGGGGCAGGATCACGCAGCGCGGCGGCCCTCAAACCTGACAGCGAGGCCGGCGGTGAGTCATCCCCCGGGGCAGTTAAGCGACCGCTTCACCTCGCCTGGCCCGCGCCGTCCTCCTCGGCAGCTGCTCTCCGGGCGGGGGAGGGACCGTCACGGCCTGCGCGCCGCCGCTACCGCCCGGCCCGCCAGGCCCCGCACCTCGGCGAGTCGCCGCTGCGCCCGCGTAAGGTCCCCGCTGCGTCGCCACGGCCACCGGCTCGGCTTGGAGCAGGACCTGGAAGTCCGGTTTGGGGCTAGAACGGCGGCCTAGACCGGACACCGAGCTCGTCCTTCCGGAAAGGCCGAATCCCAGGATCCCCCGGGTTAGGAGCGGCTGCACAGCTACTGCGCCTGCGCAGCTGGCCTGGCACCGGGGGGGGGGGGGAACGGGCAGATGGGGGAAGGGCGCGGGCGGGCTGGGGGCGGGGTTACGCTCCCCCAGCGAGGCCCTGGAAGGGGGGCAGTCTTGCAAGCGTTCAGGAGTGCGCATGCCTGCATAGATGTTTGCTGAGTGAGGTTTTCTTAGCTCTTTTTTAAGAGCGCCTTCTTTCTAAGATTTACGCTTATTTTCTTGTGCCAGAACTGCAGGGAATCGCAGCCTTTGTTAAAACTGAGAAGAAACCTGGCAGAAGAAATCATTGTATCAATTTGAATTTTTTTCCTTTAAAAACAGTTTTACAATTTACATCACACTCAATAAACACCTCAATTAAAATATTGTTTGTAAGTGTTTTTAAGCATTTAAAACACGTGGGATTTAACTTATTACTAAAGTTTGGTCCTAATGATACCTTTTGAATACTTGCAGGGAGAGATAACGCCATCAAAAAGACTTCATGCATGGTTTTGTTTTCCAAACACTTTTTAAATGGTTACACAATTTCCCAACAATTAAGCATGTTATAGTTTACTTTGCCCACTGTTTCCTCCTGAGTGTATAAACCTTGTCCTTCATTGTCTTGTGAAAAATAAATAAGCTTTGAGAATTTGCATACCTTATCCTCTATTGAATAATGATAATATTTGGTAGAATATTCAAGTCAATGTTTCTAAAATATTTTTACCAGTAATACTTGGGTTTGCATTTCCCTTCTTTTGGATTTCCCTTTTATGTTTTTTTTTTATTAACACACAGTTCTCTAACTGCAAATCTTAATTTTTATTTGCAATAAGTGTATAATTTGCCATAATTCTCTATTCTCTGAATTGGACCTCATTGCTGTCTTTAAATCTTTCTTTTCTACTTCCTGGTTTTTTGTTTGTTTGTTTGTTTTTTCGGTTGTTCAAGATTTTCCAAAATTGGTATGCAGAGAGTTACTTACAGCATGTTGTTGAGGCTAGTACGTCAACATTGTTTTCCCAAGGTGCCCTAGCAGCAATCCAACCTGTTTTGATACAAGAGCTTTGTTGAAATGAGACCAATTTTGGGAAATTCTTACCAGCCAAAGGACATTCTGGGAAGCTATTTGGTATAGGAGTTGGGGTGAACATGGTATAACTGTGAAGAGGGACACTTCCTATCTGGAAAAGAAAGAACAAAATCACCGAGCTTAAGAAGGTATCAGAGTAAAAATGACATCATCAGTCATTGTATTATTAAAGATGAGAAACCAGACATGAACATTAATGATTGTTAGAGACGATGATTTTCATATTCCAAAATTTAAGTATTTTAAAAGACCATTTTTTTTCTGTGTTCAACATGAAATGAATCCATTTTGTCACAACATTTGGTGGTCATGTTAAACAGCTATGTGTTAGAGCAGCTGCCTAGGGACATCAGCCCACTGGGCAGCATTATTTACTCATGTGCTTTATTATATCAATTTCAATATGTTTATTATAATTTTAATGTATTATACTTAGTATTTAGCACACATATCATGTTCACCTTCACATTTCCCTAGTAACAAAAAGTATTTACCTTCATATTTTTAATTAATATTATTACTCAGAGGTTTAATTTTAGACTTTTCAAATTTACTGTTAAGTCAATGTCAAGGTTGGTTTTGTAATCTCATTGAAGAATGAAGGTCCAGTTTATTCAAGTTATAAGTAACATCTGATCTTGATACCTTTCAGAATAAACTATAGCATGGTTTAAACGGTTGGGACATTGTTTTTCTTGGAAATTTTCCTTTTTTATTAGTAAACATAAAATTAGTAGTTTTGAAACAGTCTCCCTGTGTGATGCAGTCTGGCCTCCTTAGTGCTGGTTAGAGGTGTACATCACCACTCTAGGCTCAGACGATCAGTTTTAATTACATTATATGCTAACACTGAAGGCAAAAGAAAAGTGTCTTAATCACAAGAAAATGAAAGGTTCAGAGGTTCGTGTTTGACACTGAGTGTATCATTCTGTGATTTGCAGAGTGTTGTGTTTAGAGGCTCTAATTTGGGAACTAGACTACAGCTGGTCATCAAAGGCCCAAGGACAAATGAAGTCTGAGACTAATTGAGTAGAGGTGAAAATGTCTGAAGCTAAAGCATGGAAATTTCACATTGCAGTGAAGGGAAGTGAAATGGGGAACCTGAAAGGGCACTGGAATGGAACGGAGGGACCATAGGAAAATGACCAGGAGAAAGTGGTGACCAGAGGATGTATTAGAGAAGAAACACATTTCCAAGGCATTGCTTTGGGGCCAGTGAAATAATCCAGCATGATGACCCACATGGCAGAAGGGTTAACTGACTCCCACAAGTTGTCCTGCAACCTCCATGTGTGTGCCCCCAAAATAAAGAGCTGAAATATTCTTAATATCTTTTTTTAAAAAGAGTGTCTTATAATCTGAGAAAGTGGAGGCTGGCTTTTTAGAGTTAATTCCAACAAATTAGGAATAAAAGATGTTCACTCAGTGTAAACAAGAGGAAATAGAGATGTCCACTCAGGATAAATGAGAGGGAAAAGAGTTACCTACTGGAGATGCATGAGAGGAAACACACTGAGAGTAAATAGAACAGAAGGCTCTTTGGGGAGCATTGCAACTACATAATTTTTAGCTTTTTTTTTCTTGAGTCAAGGTTTCACTCTGTAGCCCTGGAACCTCGTTTGTGGATCAGGATGCCTCAAGATTTGTCTCCATCTGCTTCTTGTGTGCTGGGATTAAGTTACACACACAGTAATTTTTAACTCTTTTTATAACACTTTTTAGGATCGAGTGCAAGGAATGGCTGTAGGTGTGTAAACCACATAATATCAACATTTTGTTTATTGTATATAATAGGTTAACTTCTCTAATGTCAAACATTATTTAACAATTCTAAAATACTAGTGAGGTATTTTATTTTTGTATTGTTCACTATTTTTTATTCCTTTTATTTGGTTTTCATTTTACAACATTAACTGTAGTTTTATATGATTGCCAATTATGCTTACACCTACCTATGTTCACTTTTCAAACTTTTCCTTAGTGTCAGAATATTGGGCATGTAGCAACAGTCTCTTCCATCTCATATATGCTGACTTTAAGAATTATCAGGCCCTTCTCATATATTTTAATTTTCTCCTCATTATCCACAATAGCCTTAATTCCAAAGGTAATTGCTACTGATAATACCTAATTTCTGTGAAAACTTTCTTCATTACTATCTTAGTTGCTTTTCCCGTCCATGATAAAACACCATGAGCAAGACAGCTTATAAACTTTAGTTTGGGGCTTACAGTTTCAGAGAATGAGAGTTCATGGCAGCAGAACAAAGAAAGGCATGGGGGGCAGCAACAGCTGAGAGCTCATATAGTGGTCCTCCAGTTGGATGGAGAATCAATTTGGCCTGAGTCTTTTGAAACCTCAGAGACCCCTCCACTCTGACACACCTCCTCCAACAAAGCTACACCTTCTAATTCTGCCCAAACAGCTCTACCTACTGGAGACAAAACATTCAAATATATGAACTGATGGGGGCCATTCTTATAAACAAACTACTTTGGCCATTTAATCTCTCCACTGTTAGTATGTGTCCTGGTTAGCTTTGTCAACTTGACATGGCTTACAGTTATATATGACAACGAGCTTTAGCCAAGGAATTGCTTCAATCAGAGGGGCCTGTGGGGATTGACTGTAAAGAATTGTTTAGATTATTAGCTAATATAGGAGGGCCCATCCCACGGTTGGCAGTCCAGAGTGAAGTCACTCTTCCTCTATGGTTCCTGAGTATAGATTTCCAACTTGAGTTCCTACCCTGACTTTCCTCAATGATAGATTGTGATCTGGAATAAAAAGCAAATTAACTCATTTCTCTCCTCAAGCTGCTTTTTGCTCGAGTATTTTAAACAGAGTAATAGAGACGAAACTAGAATACCATGTGTATATTATTGGTGGAATTTTGGGTGTGTGTGTGTGTGTGTGTGTGTGTGTGTGTGTGTGTGTGTGTGTGTGTGTAGTGATTTTAATAAAAATGGCCCACACAGGCTCATAGGGAGTGGCACTATTAGAAGGTGTGGCCTTGTTGGAGGAAATGTGTCACTCGGGGTCAGGTTTGCAGTTTCAAATGCTGAAGCCAGACCCAGTGTCACTCTCTCTTCCTCATCCCTGATGACCTGGACTACTTCTCCAGCACCATGTCTGCCCCTTGTGCCACCATGCTTCCCACCTTGATGATAATGATTAAACCTCTGAACTGTAAGACAGCCCCAATCAAGCGCTTTCCCTTACAAGAGCTGAGTTGTCATGCTGTGTCTTCACAGCAATAGAAACCCCAACTAAGAGAGTCTGTGAGTGTGTCTTTGGAAGCCAGAAATCGATGTCAGATGCCTTCTTCAATTGTTTACCAAGTATTCTGTGAGACAGGGTCTCTCAGTAATTAGTTCACTAATTAGGTAGCCCAGGGATTCTCCTGTCTCTGCCTGTCCTGTTCAAGGTCACACCCCAGTTTTTTGTTTTACATGGGTGTTGGGATCTGAACTCAGGTCCACCTGTTGGTATGCAAAGTGTTATACTGAATGAAGCTTCTCCTCAGCCCCTTATTTCTATTTTATATAGTAGCAGTTCATTTTCTTGTAGAGAGACATAGTCTAAGAGGTGTTTTTTATTCCTAATATATTTCTGACCATTCTTGATTAACTTTGAACTGTTTTGACTTTGAATAGTGGTTAGTGTTGCTTCGGTAAAAATTGTTTAAAAATTTGTGGTTTCAAACGAGAACAATATTGCAATGAACACAAAATTGAGACACATCCTTTGTCTGACACAGAAATGGAACTGCATCTGAATATTTCTCTTCCTTAAAAATCAAGGTGAGAACACAACTTAGATTAAAGTCTGTGGCCAGTACAAATGTGGTTGCAAAAAAAAAAAAAATACAAACCCACCAAGAAAGAGAATCCTGCAAATAAGAAAATAGATTT